AATGCTCGTTGCTCTGATCATCAGTTAACCTTAATTTGCTTTTATCAAGAGTTGAACTTATTATTCACCACACTCACTTAATCCACCAGACGAAACAGCAGCGCACACAAACATAAATATATTTGCACGCTCGACGTACTGTTAACATCGCAGCGCGAATGTTGACGTGAACGACGACGTCGACGTCGACAACGGCGATGACGACGACGACGACACCGACAGTGTCGCGCTTATCAGCTGTTCTTTTGCTTTCATTTCTTCAAACACAAAACGCACAGAGACGTGGCACAGCAGAAAGCGCCGACCAGCCTAGCTTAGCGCAAGAGCGTGTATAAAGGAGGAAAATATATTCGTATGCACATACATACAAACATACAAATATATGTAATAGGGGGAGCTAGGGTGGGGCTAGTGTGGAAAGTGCGCTTGATACGGGCGTAGGGAAGCAGAAGCATAGGGGACGTATGCTTGTATATGTGTTGGGAAAAGAGGGGGGGGACTACAGTTCGTTTGGTTTTGCTAACGGCTGCGAATAGGCAGAGGGGATGTGTGGGCTGTGAGAGCAAGTGCAAAAGTTTGCATGTGTGTGAGTATGCATGTATTATTATATATATGTACATACAGACATACATATGTATTTATGTGTACTTGATGCACTGTGCAATATTATGTATTGGCAATATAAACGTAGGTATATATATTTATATATCAGTATACATACATATGTACGTATGTGTGTATGTGTGCGTGAACATGTGTGTTTATGTGGTGTGTTTGCCACGTCCCGTCACGAGACAAGATGTTGACAACAACAACAACGACAATAACAGTGCCCAGCCATTGTGTGTGAGTATGCGTGTGTGTGTGTAGAAGTGGAGCGATTCATTTTTCAACATGAATTGCACACATACATAACTATATATACATACACATGCCAATACATAATATATTTGCATGTGTATATAAATATGCCTATGTATGGATGTTTGCATGTGTGTACTATTCGCTTTCTTTTGCCTCACATCTTTTGTACGCTAATTTGCTTGCTTATGCTCGTGTATTTCTTTTCATCTCATTTGCTTTGTTAAGCTCTTTCCCCTATGCACGCGAACGACAAACTGAAGAAATGGACGAAGGTGAAGCAAAGCAACGAAGGGCTCACCAAAACTATGGGAAAACATCTTCCATCTTCCATCTTCATTTTCTGTAAGATTCCCTCCCCCCTCTCCTATTTTCCCTTGCCAATGCCACTGTCCTACCCCATCACCGCTTCCAGCCCAACAGCAACAACGAGATGCACAAAGTTAAAGCTGTGTAGCTGCTGACAATTCCAAAGTGCAATAACCGTTTGGCCTGTGCCTGTGCCTGGGCCTTAACCCACGTTAGCCCCCGTGCCTGTTGTTACCCAATATTGAATTTCATATGCTGCTTTGAATCAATCATTGAGTGAAATTAGTTTAAATGTAAGAAATCAATGAAAGCTTTCTCTACCTCTCTTTCTTGCCATTCATTTCATTCCTACTAAATTTATTAAAGATTAATATAAATAATTATAAATATCAAGCTAAAAAAATTTTTAAATTTTCATGAACAGCTTAAAAGTTCAAGTCAAAATATTTTTTCATATTCCTCTTTAGTTTCACCTATCTAGTTTTCTGATTATAATTAAAAATGATTATTAATTTAAAAAAAAAAAAAAAACATTTTAAATTTATTACAATTTCATATTTGTACCGAGATATTTTTTTTTATAAATTTTTTAGATTAAATATGATTAATATTATAAAATAAAATAATAACTAATATAAAATTAATCATTTTTATATATTTTTAAGATGGTTATCTAAAGAGTGTAAAAGATCCACACTGTTACTATAGTTATTTATATTTATTATTTATTTTCACCTTCTTACATCCAGAACACAGATTTTCATTGCATTCTACACTAAACTATATATATATATATTATATATATATATATATATATATATATATATATATTATTGAACTTTTTAGATGACAATCTTAGAATATATATATATCTAGATCTAATAGAGAGCGGATAAAAGATAGAGGAGGAAAGCAAGCTATGTATCGTATGACTAGCACAATTATAAGACCTGATATTCAGCAAGCCTTATATTATTCGTCTAATCAAAATAAACAAAGTTTTGAAGGTTTATTGAAAAAATCGAGCGAGAAATATTTTTATTTTCAATTATCTCTCTTAAAAAATAATGAGATTTAGTAATCTTCCAAGCTTTACCAAGCAAATTGGTCAAAGATAAAGCTGAGATGTCAAAGACTCAAAGGCTCAATTATATAGTATATAGTGTATTTTATATATATATATTATACTATATTTTTATTTTATGTATCTAAAACTTACCCTGACGCCAATGATACGTGCTTCGAGCAGCTCATGTTTGCGCGGATTTAACGACGTTTGGAAATGATCCATTTTATTCCAGTTTTCAATTCTCCGGCTTATCGTTTGATTTGAAATTTTCGTGTTGAATTTTTCGTTTACTTTTACTTTGTTGTTTTGGATTCCTTTAACTTTTTCTCTTTGTCAATTATTAATATAATAGTTTTTTTGTTTTGCAAAAACAAAAATTGTCAACGCCATTTCGATCGATCGGAATATTAGCTGAAATTTGTACAGTTAAATTGGATTAGCATATCATTATTTAACTTTGGATTTAACAGTGAAATTAATAGAAATAAAAGTTAAAATAATCATTTAGATGAGTCATTTATTTTCTGATTTTAAATGAAAAAGGAATTATTCAAAGAAAAGTATTTAAATTAAGAAATTAGTAATAAAACTTAAATTACCATTGTTATTGAAATGAATGTTTTTTAAATACATATTAAATAAACCATCTAAATTTTTCTTAAAAAAAAAATGAAGAATATTGGAATTAAGTTTTTAATATTGATTGAATTGTTTAAGCTCTTTAAAATATGTTATCATTTTTAATATTACAATAAAAATAATAAATTATATTTTAAAAACACACATGAAATAAAACTGTCATTAAAAAAATAAATATTGGAAGACATTTATAAAAATTATGTGTTTTTTAAGTATAAACATTTCAATTGAAATAGGTTATTTTATGTTATGTTAAGTGTAATTATTAATATAAATATTAATAAATAATAAATAAATAACATTTTCTAAATATTTTTTATAAATTTTGTAACTATAATAACTATTTTAAGGAAATGTTTAGTATTATTTAAATATATATATATATATAATTTATTTTTAGAAATTCAAGTTCTTTATTATTTAATTAACCAATAAAAAATTAACATACATACATGGTACAAGTATATTTATGTTTATTTATTTCTATATCACTTTTCATAAATAATAAAATATAAAATAAAAAATAATGTAGTTTTCTTCTAAAATATATATTTAATTTTAACAATAACAATTGCAAACTAGAATCAAGAAAAATTGATCGAATTTAATCAAAATTTTGATTTAGATAATAAGTGTCGATCGTGTTATTGGCGTAGGTCACGACCAGAACTCATCACTAATTCTATTTTAGGTTATGTCTCACACACACATATGTAAGCATTTAGCTCAATGTATGTGCAAATGGAAGAAACTAAATAAAAATCTTACGTTTTGAATGTAAAACCAAAGTTGGCTTTTATCAAGATTTGCATGTTGCACAGCTGTTGCCAATTAGCAAACGGGAAAATCCAATTGGGAAGCTTTTGGAGACGGGCAATCTAGGGTTAATATTATTGCAGTCCATAGAGATGCAAATAGCATCGACTGTTACACAAATTCGACAAAAGCCGGCTAAATGCCAAGTTATTCATACATATCTCAATATTATTCTTTTTCAAAAATAACATTTATTTAACATACATACACACACATGCACACGCACACAACATGCATCTGTATGTATGCACATATGTACGTTGCCCGTTTTTGCTTTGCTCGCCGGTGTGTTTGGTTTTTCTTTTCGTTTTTGTTTCACTTGCCGTTTATTTTACGTATTTTCTTTATTTGTAACTTTTCGTTGTGGGAATGATGGGCAGGGGGCTTTTGGAAAATAAGTACTGCAACAAACACTTTTTTCACACAAGTAGCTCGCCCTCTCACTTCTTTCTTAGCCGCTTTGCTTTGCGTTTTTTCTTTTCTTTTTTTTTGCAAACGCTGCGAGGTTAAGTTTGTCTTTTAGCTTTGCAGCTGCAATCCGTTGGTGCTGGAGAGGAGGAAGCTTTTTTTTGGCTAACTACAAAAACAAACAAAAAAAAAGTATCCTATATGCAACGATTTGTGTTGCAGGATGTGTACACACACACACACACGCACACAGACAACAAAATGGCTTTTTGCGTTTGGGTTTTAATGTTGTTTTTGTCACAGTAAAAAAAATTTTAGCAGAAGCTACACAAACGCGTCGCGTTGCAAAAATGTGCTAAAAAATGCGCTCAGCTGTCGAAAGAGTTTGACGATATATTTCGTATCGATATATCGTGCTCGTGCTCTAGCTCGTTCTCGCCATGCTGCAAACTCGCTACATTTTGGACTGTTAAAGCGGTTTACTCAGATAACGAAACATACTTAACGAAAGATTCAAAATTCTCTATGCATGGTATATTTCGTATATTCTTTCATGTCTAGTGAAACCAGTTAATGTATAAAATATTAGAATGTTAGATTTTTACTTGCAGCTTAATAAATCTGGGAAAACATGCAATATAAGATATATATTGTTTTTGTTTGAATATGTACTATCTCTATAATTTAAAAATGTGCAACGAAATCTTAGTAAATTCTATATTTATACTTGTTAATTGTATCTGCTTTGCAATTGCTAAACTATATTCAATTCTCTCAATGACAATTCAAGGGAATGGCAGCTTTAATGTTATTTAACAGCGCATGCCTGCACTTAACAGCTGAAATCGATACCAATTGCCGTCGCAATCGAATTCTGACATATGTTGCCCATGAAACTCCGTTAGAGCTTCCAACATATGTTTTCGCCAGGGCGCGATTCATTTGTATGAAGAAAATGAAATAGAAATGCAGAACAATGTTCGGTTTTATACATTTTCTAAAATCGCTTAGCTACTCAACGCCGGTTAGTTATCAGCTACAAAAACACCGCATATAACTAAATAACATGTACATTGCAGGTGGCCAACCGCCGCGTGAATTCTATTCAAACCGCTTCGTTCGAGTCGCCGAATAACGAAACAACTTCTTACGAAGAAACCAATTCGAATGACTCTACGTTCTCGGTAGATGCTGTAACTGGGACAATAAATAACGGCAGCATTGCTAACGGTAAGCTAGGTCAATATCTAAGCATCGATATTTATGCACAAATGAGTATTTTCCCAGAGATGAGCTCAAATGCAAGTGACGAATCGTTGAATCTGGTTTCTCCAAGTCGAGTCATTGGAACTTCACATTCGATTACCGTTAATGAGAGCATGTTTACAGGTAAGTGAATTTTATATTTATCAGCTATAAGTACATACATATATGTGCATACATATATTCGTAATCTGCATAAATATATTCGTATCTGCCTGTTCGCTTTAACAGCTATAGACTGGAGATTGGGATTTATATGCTTGTATATCATCGTAGAACAAGTTTATCAGTCTTCTTATTTTCGATAAATCAACCCATTTTCTTGTCGATTAAAATCGATAATTCCCTATTTAGATTTGCTTTGTTAGATATAAGTTGATTACCATAAAAGTTAGAAAGTTTAGAATAAACTGGCAATGAATAGATATGGACCTCTTTGATAACTTCTCCATTGCTGTAGATTCAGTCATATTTCCGATCTTATAGGCCAATAACTGCTCAAGAGTTATGCTAGCTACAATTTGGTAACATATCTATTCCCGCCTTTAATAAATCCTATTAAACTTAATCGTATATATATGATCTGAATGTTATGTTAGATATGAATGCAAATGATGAATCCTTGATTGCTGTTTCTCCGCCTCGAATCATAAGCGCTGGCTTGGGTAACGGTAAGTCTCTATTTAATATATATATATATATATTTTTTTATTTATATATATATTGATCTGAAATATATTCACTTTTGTTTTGTAGATCTGGCTAGGGATGAATCGCTGAATGTCGCTTATTCGCCTTATATTTCAAGATTTGTTCGTTCGTCAAATGGAACTGAAAATCGTAAGTATATAGAAGTTATATATATATTAATCTGCATTAATGCAATGTACTTAGCTGGTCAAACACCCGATACGATTGTCTTGACGGATAGCGATGTCGACGAGCTAAGTCCAATTCGTGCCCACAGTCCGATGGCGATCATCGACCTGTGCACACCAGAAGCTGCGCAACGCCAGAGAAGAAACAACAGCAGCAGCTACAACAACAACAACAACAACAACAACAACAACAACAACAACAACAACAACAACAACAACAACAACAACAATGACAGTTTCATTGATACCAGCTACAAGTGTCCTGTTTGCTTTGAACGCGTCCGCAAGCGTGAGCCAATTTCCACAAAATGTGGCCATGTCTTCTGCCACAGCTGCATCAATGCCGCAGTGCGCGTAAAGAAAAAGTGTCCACTGTGCAACAAGAAACTTACATCGCAGGACTTCTTTCGTATTTATATTTAACTCGCATCTGATCGATCACAGATCTCATATCAAACACTAATTTGATTTCATTGCCTGTAATATTTCATCATTTGCTGTTGCAACTTTGTGTTTGTATTTGAAAAATATCGAAATTTGTTGCAATTGCTTAAATGTTTAAGTGTTCCATTAAGTTTGTATGTGCATATTTAAATTTATAATTTATATTTATAGTTCAGCATTTGAGTCGATTTAGGAATCTTTAAGATCTACCAACATGCATAGTTTTCTGAGAAACGATTAGCGAATGTTTAACCATCTTTAAGTCCAGAGTCATTCACAAGATTCTTATAAATCAAACACAACTTTGATTCGAATAGCTTCTTAAAAAATAAACAAGTTATTCAAATATAACATTTTCTTTCGAGTTTGGAAAGAAGCATACGAAGCTGTAACGTTAATCATGATTGACGAAAGCTATGTTATGCAAAGCGCACTGTTAAGAGTGCGACGTCTTTTGATAATTATAATATATAATAATAATATTGGCTTGTTTAACCTTTTTAAGCTAACTTTAATTAAAAGTGTATTCTTTTTCATATAACCATATAAATAATAATAATTATTTTGCACTTGCGAGAGCACTGATCGAGTGCGCGCCAAAATTCAAATGTGTTAACGGAGCACAAGCCGGCGTCAGTAAAAAAGGGAACTGTTAGTTAACATTAAAAGTCACAGAGCTGCACTTTGCATAGCTGTTGAGCCTCAGTGGGAGTGTGGCTGTGCATGGTTGTGTGTGTGTAAAGATTAGCGCCGATATATTTGAAACGACAGCTCATCACGGAGTACAGGGTATCTTAAAGAAGTACAATCAACTAAACATAACTTACGTTGAACTTAAAGAAACGAACTAAGTAGTCCTCAGATTTCCAAATTAATATAAAAGGGTATACTGCCGACTTGAAGAACCCCAACTTTCTAGCAATAAAATTAGCTAATTTTATTTACCATGCATTTTATTATAATTTATTCTTTAGTATTTTTACATATATTTAAAAAAATTTTATTTACAATTATTTTTAAAAATATTTTTCTAAGTTTTCCATTAGAAAATGTTGATTTTCTATTCTACTTAAATTTTAATAATATTCAATTTTGAAATATGAGTAAACTAAAATTGAAAAACAAAGACAACTATAAAGTTTAAAATCAGTCTAAACTAAAGGCCCCGAATCATTTTAAATAATTTCGAATTATTTTTTCTTAAAGGTCATAAAAATATATAAACTTTCTTAGTTCGATATTTATACTAGACTAGAAAATGAAAAAATACATACTTTTGGAGGCATTATTTAATTCTTCCTACTTTGTGCCCTCTGAGAGAACTTATGACGTCACTTTGTTGGGAATTCGTCACTTGGCGTGACTTGCGCATTAAACGCCATCAAAACTTCTATCAGCCACCTACTCTTAACTATCGACTGCTATTATATCGATAGTATTCAATTATATTTTTACACGATATCTATTTAAGATGCTTGTTTATTGAAGCCAGAGTGTATAATAAACAAAAAATAAAAATATATTAGAAATACTGAAAAGTATTTTTGTTATTTTACCAGCGTGATACCACAGTGATCTTTAGGGCGGTTGGCGATACTTCAAGTATCGATATTCAGTCGCGGTCAGCGATAGTTTTGAACAAATATTAACCAGCGCTAGACAAGTAGATATCGCTCATCCCTAAATCTGATTCAGTTCATTTTCGGTTTTTGTGCGCAGCGGAGTTACCTATATATCAATTTCGAGGTGTTCGACATAAATTAAAAACTAATTTATAGTAAAAGACGCGCTGCAGCCAAGCTTTATATATATATATACATATATATATGTTAGCTGCAAAAAACGAGCACAAACACACAAGAAGCGGCTACCAAGTGATTACGAATTTGTATGTTTTCATTGAATTGTTTATATACATATAAGAGTTTTTGAATTTTTTTATTTTTGATTTCATCTTGGTTGTTGTTATTGTGTAGCTGCTGGTGTTGAATTTTGTTGTTGTGATATTGGCTATTAAAGTGCAAAATGTGTGTTTCATACTGAAATTGCGCGTGCAATTGCCCTTTGTCTCATTCGATTGTTTTAAATCTGTTTTTTTTTTTATTTTTTTATTGTGTTTTTGCGAACGCGTCATCATGAAAAAATGCCCAAAAAATAAAACAGCACAAATTTTGCGCTTGATTTGGTGCGCTTTGTGCGTATGAGTGCATGTGTGTGTGTATGTGTGTGTCTGATTGATGTAGTAATTGATTAATGGGATGCTACGTCCTGCACATTGTTGCTGTTAGCTGAAATAAACAAATTTTGTAAAAGCCGCCAAAAGGCGAACGATCTTCGTTGGCAGCATAAGCACAAGCAACCAAGCAGCGGCGGCAGCAGCGGCGTCAGCGTCAAAGAAAGTGCGGCCTAGCTGCCAGTTTCTATGCGTGTGTGTGTGTGTGTGCAAAGTAGATGCGAGAAAAAAACCAAAACCCAAAGTATTCATGTCTTTATTTGTTGCTGCTGTTGCTGTTGCTTCTGCTGTATAACGGCACCATTCGTCGCATAGCAAAAGTGAAATTTCTACTGGGATTTCTTTATTATTTAAATTTTTGTTGTGCTAGTTGTTTGCCATTCTTTGTGCATTGTTGTTCTCTGCTGCTGTTGTTGTTGTTGTCACTGGCAACGCCTCTGCTCTCTGCATCTAGTGCGTTTGCCATTCAAACATTGTTGCGGGCTTTTTATCAATGCTATCAGCGGAAATATTTTGCCGCACCCCGCTTGACCTTATTCCATGCACACTCTCTCGCGTACACACACATACATACTGCGTAGCTGCTCTCTTTCAATGCAGCAGCACAGCCCACCCAGTCGCCTGGGTGACGTCCTCCTTGTCTATCACCCGCATTACTGTGCGTTTTTTGTTCTCTGCGTCTAGCTGAAGTTGACTCATTCTCTCGCCACGCGCATTCCACATTCACATTCATTCTTTTGCTTTGAAAGCAACTCACACACACTCTGTTCCTCTCTCCTTCTCTCTCTCTTTTCGCGCTCTGTCCACCCACTTGCTCACTATTAAGCTTTTGGTATTTTGAGCACAGCTTATTGCAACTCTTGCAGCTCTCTCCCGACTGTCAACGCAACGTGCTGCTTTTTTCTGTTCTGCTCTATCAATCAGCAGCAAATTGTAGATCGTATGTGAGTATACGATATTTATTTGTATGGGTGAATGTGCGTGAGCGTATGCGTATGCGCGTGTGTTTAAGTGCGAGTGTATTTGTCACCTCCGCCTCCTCTCATATTATTTCATTTGCAATTACATTCTTTTTCCTTACATTGGCAAAAACGTGACTTGAATTCTATTTGGTATTTTTGGACATTTGTAATCTCAGCGCAGCCCGGAACCACTAAATTTGATTTACTTATTTTTGCACGATTCAAAGTATTTTGTTTAGAACTTGAACTTTTTTCCAGCAACTTCCGCCCATAATTGAACTTGAACGAAATTCGCTAAAACGAAGTGTTTAAATTACTATTGTTTAAATAAACATAGTTATGGTCCACTCGTTTTCCATAATTTACTATTAGTGACCGATCAATCAGTCAAAAATTAAATGTATGCATTTAACATTTTTGAACTTATAACTTTCTCGTACATTTCAAATTCCAAATTTATCAGTCTGAATGTAGAAGTCTGTAATCCCTAAAGTATTCCAATCAGTTCTTATCATTAGAAAAAAGCCATTTACTTCCGCTGCCTGCCAAAAACCAAACCAAAAATAAAAAGAAATGAAAAACAAGTTCAAGTACACTCATTGCATTTCTTATAAATTACTACTTTCGTAGTGTTAACTGAATGTCGTATTCCGCAAAGCATTTAAAAATGAACCAATTTGTGGATATTATTTGTGAAGGGCATTACAATATCGTTGCGTCTTGCTCAAGCTCAAGGAACAAGAATTACTCACACATCTCCTGATCAGTGAAATCCGTTTACGGGTCTTACTCTATTCATTCCATAGCAGAGTTAGTCAACAAAAACAAGTGCCTAAAAGTCAGCCTAAGCCTTGTGTGGTAATCGTCTATAAATAAAATAATTTAAAATTCTTTTTTATAATCAATTCATATTATTTATATCCTGCATTGTAGCTTAACGCAGGGGCTTCAGCAGCATCACTGCTCTGTTGTTTTTGGCCAAGAATTTGGTACGAATTCTTTGCTTCATTTTGTGGAATAGACAGAAACGAGTCAAACGAAACGAGTCAAAATAGCCAAACTGATCGGCCTAATTGTGGGACATAGATCAAATCGAAATCGAATTGGTGTAATCCGAAGCTCAACATTCGCAACCTTGTATCTATACAAAACTTTGTGACTATTGAAGTCAAAGAGAGAACTCAAGTGAAATAAGATTTTTAAGCAGAGGGAGTAGGATATAATATACAAAGAAACAATCTGTTGTTCTAGGTAGAGATTAATTCAGCATTGTCATCTCAGTAATTAAACGTACTTTTTGATTTTTAAATTATTTATTTATTAATTATATATTTTATTTATTTTACTCTGGAATTTTAAAATGATTCACATCGTTTATTTTGCATCTATAAGTCAGGAAAAGAAAGATGTTTTTTTTTTTTTATTGATTTTGGATTTCGATTGGTGTTGTTTACCTTGGTGCAAATTCCTGATGTCGCGTCTCGTGATAAGTGTTAATTCTTTGCACTCGTTTTTTCCCTCCTTTTTTGTGTAGAGTTTCCAAACTTGATGCTAACTACAACAATTGGAAACTTGTTTTTGGTTTTCGCATCTATTGTGAGTGGCGCACAATAGTGTGAATGAATGTAAATGCTGAAATCGACAATAATGATAATTATAATAATGATGCGCCTGACACAATTCTCGTAACTCTAATTCTTCTTCTTCGGCGTCGTCATCTTCTGTTTTTCGTTTGTTTTCATTCTAAGTAAGCTTCACTTTATCTTCATCTTTATCTCTGTTTGTCAAATGACTCCAAAGTTGTCTTCGCTATGTATCTTACCCGCATTAGCCTAATTTATAGCCATCAAGCGGCGATTTGTGCCAATTCCTCTCAACGTGGCCCTACGATTCCAGCCAAGTCCATTAAAACAAAAAGAAACTAAGAAAACAAAGTAAGAAATTCAAGTTTGTCGGCTTCCCAAACAGATAAAAAACAGCATGGAAGATACATATCTAGACTATAGCTATACTTGTTGAATGACTTATGACGCTATGAATTGTATTTTTAAGAATGACTTTGGGAAATAGTCTTGAATCTCGTACGCTTCGAGTATATAAAATAAATTACTGAAAAACTTTTGCAAATCTTTGTAATAATGGGCAAAAAATAAGCAATCCTAATGAGCTTAGTATTCTAGATCATTTATTATATAATCGCCCAACAAGCTTAGCTCTATCTCTAAATGTGTGCCTGCATATACACATAGACTATACATGCACATGTCAAATAAATCCACTGAGAGATAAGCCAAATATATCGTATGAGTAAAGTATGCGTGTATCAGCGTCTAGTTATGATCTATTTTACAGTTCTGCGACTTTATTCTTAGCTTTAGACAGATAGAAGATCGAAGAGATGAGAGAGGAGTTTCCTCCTCTCTCTACCCCCTTCCTCTCTCTCGGCATATCAGCGATAGTCGAGAGTGATTTCGAGATTGAGATGCGAGAGAGCTAGTCGCTACTCGTATGGGAGCGAGAGCTCTCTATGCGGATAGCTCAGGGAGATATACTTTCTCTCTCTCTCTCTTCTCTCTCTCTTCTCTCTCTCTCTCTCTCTCTCTCTCTCTCTACTCTCTCTCTCTCTCTCTCTCTCTCTCTCCTCTCTCCTCTCTGTTTCTTAAGAGCTCCATGAAGTTCGTCAAAGCTGCGCTTCAGTTTCTTGATTCTCAGATCTATTTCAATCGCGCCGCACATGGTGGTAAGAAAGTTTGTACATATATATGTTTACATACACATATATCCATATACATGAACTTGCATATCTCTTGGAGATCTTAACTATTCGTTGCACATTAGTTTTTATTGTGTTACGCTCTCAACTGCTTCTGCTGCTGCGGCTGCTGCTGTTGCTGTTGCTTTTGCTGTTTGCCGTTGCCTTGCTTTTAATTACAATTTCCCCCTTTTAGTTAGTTGGTTACTCTGGCAACACTCCCACGCCTTGATTGTGTGCGTGTAGTGTGAAATTCGCGTTATCTTTTGAAGCGAATTCAACTTGTTTGGCCACACTAACAAAACGTCGCTCGTCATTGCCGTTTGCCGTTCGCCGCTTGCCTTGAACTTGGCCAAACATGTGCGTAGAAAGTTGGGCTACATCGAAAGCCATATTCGCCGACTAAAGCTTTGGCTGACAGTACGCAGTTATAAATAACTACAATGATGCAAAAAGCAAAAATGATGAGCAAATAGCCAATGCGACAACAACAGCTAGCTAATTGTGAATTGAAGCTCAAAGCTTTCAAAAGCTGTTTAACATAATTCACATTGTTTTCTTGTTCATACTGTCGTTGTTGTTATTGTTGTTGTTATCATCGCTCCCACTTGACATTGAAAGCGCCGAAGCTGACGTCGACGCCGCCGCCGACGCCAATGCCGCTGTTGTCGCTGCGCATCACAGCACGCGACTGCGCAGCTGGCGGCGAATTCGTTGCAAACCATTGTCGTGAGTCACGCGGCAAAACACACCACACGCTTAAAATCAACCGTTGCGTTCAGCTTGTTGCTGCTTCGGTTTTTCTCTCATTTTGTTTTTGTTGTTGTTGCTTCTTCACAACTGAGTGAACAGCAGCAAAAACTTAACAGTTAACAGTTAACAAAACGAAAGCCTACAAGAAAGACGGCAAACAAGAAGCAAAAAGCGCGTTCTAAAACTTT